ACCATATTACATGATTGAAGCAAAATTGAATAACCAAACGACCAGCTAGTATATGCTGCGCAAAAACGTATTCAGTCACTTCCTGTTGATAGATAATATATGAGGCATTGAATCTATTTCACTAAAAATAATAATAATTACCTAATCACATGATACAACGACAGACGAATACTTAGTAATTAATAGAATTAGTATAATAGACGAGTTTCTGTCAAACTTTTCCTATGAATATCCAATTATGTCTTTAATAGACATAACTGTATAATAGTTAACTTATTGTTACTTCAGGCAAATAAATACTCAAAACGAACAAATGCAACAAATAACACAATAATTAGAAAGGGTATATCTGAAAAATAGGAGAATTCTATTTCCCATAATTTCTCTCTCGCAAATGATTAATTACCGAATTAGTTGTTGCTTTCCTTAGCTTTCATTTTCAAGAATGATTAACTACTTGCTAAGCCCAGACAATAACGACTGGAAATGATGATAAATGGAGAAATATAAATTACAAATTTGACCTTAGAAAGGAGGCAGGAAAGTAGACAGGTTGACATATGACCCAAAAATAGTAGCGCTTTGTATCATAATTCAAATACAATGAAAGGTAAAATAGAAAGAAATTGAAAGCAAACTAGACAGTATGATAAATTTGACATTTGAAAGTCTAATCAGGTAATCCAGTTAACAGTAAATATCCTACAGAAGTAACATTGATAATGGCAGTTAGGCAAAGTTATCATCAAACTATTTTGATACTAACTGCGTGTTTGGTATTTAAGTGAAGTAGGGAGTGTAATTTTTTGAGTGAGGGAATCCTCGCATTCAAATCCCATTCCGTTAACTGTTTTAACTGAATACGAAAGAGGTTTCAAAGGTTTAGTTCATAAGCATATGACTCCTATTTTCTCCTCTCAGTCCTGCTGGATTCAATAATGTGAATGAAGTGATGCAAGCTCACTGGAATATAAAGGCTTTTGTTTAACACACAAATGCTAAACACAACATAAAACCAGAAGATACTGACATATTTAAAAAAAGTCAGCAGTCAATATTTATCAGGGCTATGATTACTTAAACAATGGCAACAAATAGTCTACCCACATTTTACTAATAGACAGATTTCAAATCAGCGAGAAGACACCATGGATAGATTTAAAAAAACAGTTGTTAGCAGGAACAAAATGCGGTAAGAAGGCACTGTGAGAAAAGGAATAAATTATTTCCAGTTTTGAGACTCCAAGGAAGAATATGTTCATGACTTTCTCTACTGCCAATAATAAATCGGCGGGTATAGTTACCGAACCTGCTTTCTAAAAGTAATTACACTTGGGGAAATGATCAGTGGTAGAATTTCAGTCCGTACAATTCTAATAGTAAGTGTGTTGTAATTCGTAAATGAATAAGAATTTATACGGAAATTGCCAAGGATTCAAGAATGGGCTAGAGTTTCAACCTGCATTCGGTTATGGTTAACTAATCAAGAGGAGATTGATGGTTGAGAGTGTTTGATGGACAACTATCACTAACTTATATTCGCAGATATTTTGTATATGAGACTGATTTCACTATTTTTATTGTAAGCAATTCGTTTCACTTTGTTGACTACTCAGTAAGGCAATGTTTCATTCTTCAAGTAGAAGTTGTTACATTTCGACATAGGTTATCATAACCAGCATTAGTAGCTCACATACTCACGTGAACGCTGATTAACAATACGGCAGAAATCAAGCGTTACTTTCCAAAATATGATAATTATTTCAAATAAAAAACTAAAATGTTAGGAAAGTGAAAAAAAGGTTATGAGACAAGTTATATTTTCTGCGATTCTAGATATTTTTTCGGTAAATTGATGAAACGATATTGTGGTAAGAGTATATTTTTAATGAAGCTTCTGTTATCAGGAGTGTTCTTTAAGAGAATGTAAAAACATCAGGAGAACAATGATGTTCTTTATACGATGCTTACAATCGACTTATATCTATCAACGGTACTCACAGTCTTCATATTTGTTCAGATAGATCATTTACTTGCTGAGATCGCGTACACATCATCCTAACATGCAGTTGTAGGTGAGTTTGAATTAACTTCGAAATAAGTGGAACACTTGTATGAGAAATTCAAATGACGGGAAGCAGTAGTTGAATAATTCGAAATATATGCATCGGAATCCATTGGTACAGGTAAAGATGTATAAAAGCTTCATACTGATAGTCATGACTTTTCATTTTTATTCCTTTATATTCCCGGTGGAACATAGGGTTTCGAGCTAGAGGCTTGAAGTTTCCGTAGCAATGGCGTGTCTTTTTACGAGATGGGGTTACTATCCTCATGCCCAACCTTCCCTCTTTACCATTCTTATTACTAGCTTAGTGAGGTGAAGGAGTGCGTCGGCCGGGGATTGAACCCCGAACCATCTGCATGGTTGACGACCATGAGCAAGGTCCTATGGTCATAATATCGATTTGTCAATCTACTAATCATCATAATAACAAATATATTTGCATGATTTCTGAACAGACTGAACCCGTTTCTTTTATGTGGTTATGTAGTTTATATGACTCAGACATCAGCGATTCATCAGTTCTGATCAAAGTTCAACGATTCAAAGTTACACTTTTGGATTCAATTCCACACTATAATATTTATCTGTAGTTGCATTTTGTACAATGACATATTTTCATCACTCATTGCTACCATTTAGATTTGTGTAACTCCCATATCTTAGAGTCACTGACTCAGGTGTTACACTCACAAGTTATTATTCAAATGTTCATTCAGACGACCATTAGTAATACAATAGAGCAGTAACAAAAAAGAATCTCATAACTATTATTCACTTATAAATTTTCGTAACAGATGGTATCAGGTTACTAGACATTAGATGAAACATCATGTTACTGTTGGCACTTTGGTAAATGCATTTGTGTCTGTGTGTGTGTGTGTGTGTGAATAGTCATGCGTAAATCGAATTCGGTCATTCATTCCCTTCGTCCATGCATCAATAATAAAAATTATTATTATCATTGTTATTACCTAAGGATGAGTAAATCCAAAAGGGTAAAACATTCGAGTATGAATTGACAACCAGACCCTAACCTGAACTTTGAGTACAAGATGAATTCAAAAGGTAGTTTCATATGAAATCCCATGAGGTTATGCGCTCACAAATAGGGATTGAATTTCACAACAAGGAAAATAAAGGAAAGAGGAAAACAAAACACTTATCTGTCTATCTCAATTGGTATAAATGATGATAGCATAATCAGATTTCACAATTTAAAACGGAACAGAACAGAATGGAAACAAAGAGTTAGTAGATATCTCCATAACTTCCTCTGACGCAGACACGAACACACACACACACACCGAACACTGAGTAAAAATCTACTTCAAATTGTACGAGACATCGAATTCGACCAATAGTAGTGAGTAAGTAGGTCGAGGAATTTTAACCTTAGGTCATATATTCTCATATTTTAAGGTCATTTTATTTGTATTCCCATATTTGCCTGTCGCGATAAATGACAATGTGATAAAAATTATTTATCACAAGCTACTGATTTGATTATAAATGGATGCTCATTTTACAAAACAGAAATTAAAAAGAAACTAAAACAGGCTGACTCAGACAAATCACACAGAAGAAAACGAGAAATAAAAATGTGGAAGATAAAAATATGAAGATAAGACAAACTAAACATGATGACGAATTTTTCCAGACTGTTTGTATGCAGAGAATTTTTCTTTTGAAGCACAATATAATTATTCCTGGCCTAGATGAATACAAACCCATAAATTTAAGGATTAACAACGATGTCCACAGGTAATTTCTCTAACATAACATGTTGAAATTAAATCACAAGTTGAATAACTGAACTGGAATAATGTATAACACAGAATGAATATTAGAAGACGTCATAAATCGATGATACAATGACTCTCTCATATTCATTAAACTATCATGCTTTCTCTTCAGCATTTCTGCTTAGTATCCTCCTCCAAATATCTTTTTTCTCTTTCTCTTTTGTCTATCATTGCGGGTTACATGGTATTTTTTTCCGTCACGTTCCCAGTGGAACACAGGGTCTCAAGCTAGTGGCTTGAAGTTTCTGTAGCAGTGTTTCATTTTACAGGATGGTTGTTGCTAACCTTATGCCCAACCTTTCCTCTTTACCAGCATTATTTCTGGCTTAGCGAGGTAAAGGAGTTCGTCGGCAGGGGATCGAACCCCGGGCCATGGTCATGGTCGGTGAGCGTCCTAACCGCTGTGCCACCGACGCTGCTGGACTTCTATTCTAACTTCTATGTTGAAACTCAGCCAGTAAATTTAATGATACATTAGAAATATCGATTTCACTAGCATTTTGATTCTACCTAATGCATAAAATGTGTCATAGCTACAACAGTACTAATTTTACAAGAGTGTTTACCCTAAGTTTCTCCAGAGAACATTTCTGTTCAATTAGCAGATGCAACTTCAGACAATAATATCTGAATGTGATCTTAAAAGTTCAACAAATGTAGGTCAACTCCCAAAATCACTTGTTCAGAGTCACATTTCAGTAAATGACTACTCAATAATAAGTCCGGCGTGTTTCTTTGGCTTCAGGAAAATCAATACGGTGAAAATGTGAACTGTTGGTTAACTAACTGTTCCACTATTGGTTTTTCCCATAGCTTTAACAAAAAAGTAATGAAGGGAGAATTCGCTACATGAATATAAATACATTCTTTGCTGCAAATAGTTTTTGCTTTTATCCTCAAAAGGTTTTTCAACTTGCGTAGTGATGAGGAATCTTGGAAACTAAAACAGCTTCCCACTCTATGTGTGTTGTTTAAGAAGTATTTTGAAATATATCAAACTCATAAAAAAAATACTTACAAAATACAACCACTTATAATAATGATGATGATAATAATAATAACGGCTTTATTCTAAAAAAATGAGTTCATACATAAAGATACAGTGTTGATACAAAGAACAATCAACCAACCTGATTTAATCCACCGCCTTCAGAAAATAAAACCTTAATGAGTTTAAGTGCTCCGAAGTCGATTTGTAACCATTCATTTAATTCGGTATGTATTAATTTAGCTGGACACCAAGCACCGGAAATTTCTTCTTTGGAAGCAAACACTACAAAACTAGAATGAGGAAAAAAACTAAGTTGATTAGCTTATAACGACTCACAATAAAATATACTAAAATATGACAAATAATAACTAATGGTAACCTACAAGTGGTCAGTACTCGAACAGGGATGATTAATAAATTCTTGAAAAATAAGTGAACCAGTAAGTCTATTAGTAGATTATATAATAAAAATGAAGGCAGTACAGAACAATTAATTAGATGAAAATCATTATAGGTCAGTTGTTGTCATTACTAAATATGAAGTGATCTTTATTAACTTGATTACTTGCTCCGTCAATTATTTATTGCTATTCTCTTTTAAGGTCAACATTATATTGAATCTTCTGCTTGTCTATATGAAGTGAGACAAGAAAGATGAATACTCATTTTGGATTTCTCATATGTCTAAATGTATTATTATTATTATATCCTTTAATTCCTAGAGGAACATAGGGCTTCAGCCACGCGTCTCCATTGCCTTCGGTGTTCTGCCAACTTTTTCACTCCGCTCAAACTCTGCCCACATGCTTTCATTACCTCTTCACATGACCTCCTACAAGTCACCCTTGCACTGACGACCAGCTCGTCGCTTCCCATTCTGTTGGGTTCCACTCGAGCAATGGCTTGTCTAGTGATGTCACTACTTGATCGACTGTTTCCTCAGAGTATGGCCAGCCAATCCACCTCTATTTCTTCCTGCTTATTTGTTTCACAATCGGTTCCTGCTGGGTTGGTTCACTCATTGCCAGAGATCCCTGCCTGTTCCTGATCTTTCCTGACTGGCCATCTGATCTTGAGTATTGAGCGAAGACAACTGTTAATGGAGGTCTGTAGTTTGTTTGAGATGCTCTTTATGACGAGGCGCCAAGTCTCTGATCCGTATAGTGAGTAGCACTGACTGTCTTCACATTGGAGTTGAAAATCCGGATGTTATTTTTGATGATGAGTGCTGTTGACCTCCACACAGACTTTAGAGTAGTGAAAACTTGTCTTGCTTTTCCAATTCTTTCTTTGATATCCTCGTCAGTTCCGTCCGTCTGTAGTTGAAACGATGCTTCCCAGGTGGGTAGGTAAAGGGGGTTGTTTCTTTCAGGTTCCTCTCATTTATACTGATTGTTGTCTATTGTTGCTGTCACTGTTGCTGTTGGCCAGGAATCTTCATCATCACCTCTGTTTTATCTATGTTCACCTGAAGGTAAACACTGGACTACAAAAATGAGAAAAATACATAGGGATAACAGCCATACAAATATAGTATATGGAATGTAAGTTTTCTCAGTGGTATCACATCACTTAAAACGTATCTGTCTCCAACCAAGACATTTAACTTTGGAACACCCAACTTTCAGACTGCGTATAGGAAAAATTCATTCACACAAATTCGCTTATTTAATATTTATTACATTAGTAGAAATGTCTCTTTTTTCAAACAATCTACCACTTCCTTACTTTATGTTTCCCAGATGAGAATTGCATCCATAAAATGATTTATATTCACTACAAACTGTCTATATCTTATTTTGGAGACAACTTCTGAAACAAAATTGAAATCAGTATTGTTTTGAGTGTTTTGCATGTAGTTAGTCAGAAGGTCAGCTTTCGTACGTTTACATAAAAGGTGTGTCTCAGAGTCTATTGCGCGAATGCATACATGGACATTTTCAATCCCACCAACACTGATACTTCACAATTTCTTCTAAGCTGTTCTGTTTTACTCCTTGTCCTATAAGGAGAACTGATTATTAGGAATGTTTTATATGTTGTTACAATAAATGAAAACTAAAGCATATTTCTAAAAGAGCATATAACTGACTGATATATTTCCATTTATATAAAATTCTCAGTATCATACTGAATCTGTCTGTCTGTTTTCGACATAGAACTTTGCACCGATATGCGCCAGTTCAAGTTGCCACACTCCCCTTTTTGTAGCACACAAAGCAAGAGAAGAAAACAGAAGAAATGCATATTAGAGACAGTAAACAGAGGTGTGAGACAAAGGAATAGTAATAAAGAAGAACAATACAGTCTCACTGGAAATCTTAAGTCACAAGGAGTGGATGCATCTGCGCCAGCCATTAAGAACGATTTTCGACCATATCACCAATTGTTTACAACCATTGGTTTTTACCGTCCAGAGGAACCCAACCAGTCAGGAAGTCTACACCTTCCTACGTGGCTGGCTTAAACTAACTGTTTTGGATTTCATTGACTGGTGAAGCCATGTTTTGGTTTGACCGCCGCTAGCTCTTTTCCATCCTGACCCTATGTTAGCTTACATTGTTAGTCGGTCGAGGAAGGCGATAACTAGGCATGCGTCGTAACACATGTCCTAACCATCTCAATCGATGTAACTTCACAGCCTCATCGATTGATTTCCCCTCCTTACCTAGAACTCGACCAAAGCCTAACCTCAATATTGCTCACCCTATTGTACCACTTCACACGGGAGATAGAGCGCAGTGACCTACGATCAAAGACAGCTAGCTGGCGTTTTCATGTCTTCCACTCTCAATGGCAAGGTTTCACAGGTAGCCATAAAGCAGGACGGAGTGGACTGATGAGCAATACACACGCCCTCTGGTCGATAGTTGGATATCACATCCACGCCACATACGGTGTAAACTGCTGAAACTAGCCCTCTGTATCCATGGTGAGATTTCGTCAGAGATCAACCCGTTGGGGCTGATGGTACTTCCCAAGTAAGTGAAGTGGTCAACGTGCTTCACTTCCTATTTCTAATCTAAGAGTCGATGTAGTCCAGTCCTGTAACATCATTTTGCATTTGGCGGGAGCGAATCGCATGCCAAACATTCGTAGATTGCCGCTCAAAGTGTTTAAAAGACTCTGTATTTTGTTAGCGTCTTCGCCTAGAAGGACTATATCGTCTGCATATTCTAAGTCAACGAAATTATTCCTTGGTAGCAAGTCAATCTCTGAGTCGCTGAAGTCACTTGGGGTTAAGTCCATCAGTACATCTATGATGAAATTGAATAGAAATGGGGATAATGGACATCCTTGACGGACACCACTAGTTGTCACCACTTCATATGACAACTCGCCGTAAGCCCTCACCTGGCTGCACGAGTTCGAGCAGAGTGCCTTAATCAGTGCTATGTATTTTCTGGGAATTCCCTTTACAGCCAAGCATCTCCAGAGAACCTCCCGGTCGACAGAATCGAATGTCGCCTTTAGGTCAAGAAATATAATGATTGTTGGACGCTGGTAGGAATGCTATGTTCTAGAATCTGTCGAAGCGTGAAGATATGATCAATACACCCTCCTCCTGGTCTAAAGCCTACCCGGCTCTCTCGTGTTTGTGCCTCCCGAGCACCACTTAGTTTATGCGTGATTATTGAGCCTAGGACTTTAGATACTATATTATTCAAGCTAATCCCTCTGTGATTATCACAGGAAGACTTGTCTCCCTTCTTGTATGTTTGGATAATCAATGACTTACACCAACCCGATGGGACTTTCTGATTCCCAGTAAAAATGAATGTTGGCTAAAGCTTACTCGTTAGTTAAACTGAGTTCTACACCCTCCTAATAACAAAGAAGCTGAAGTTTAGGTAAATGCACCGTTCAAGCTAATTCACATGTGGTTTCTCCCCTTAGTGTACTGTTTGAATAGAGGTTGCATAACGATTAGAATTCAGCTTGTGTGAAGGATTTTTAAAAAGACTATCGGTTAGGTATTATTTTGAACCAATCAATGAAATGAAGTTTATAGCATCACATTGATTAATCACTGAAGGATGACCAATGTCAAGCGACTAGTCCTTGGTGCTGGTGCAGACTGAATTCTATGAATCAAGTTTGCGATGTGGTCATCAAGACAGGTGGCTCACTATCAAATTGGACTCTAAATTTCTTTAGATGGTTGGAGGCAATAGGTAGCAAAACCCTGCTGAATAGCTCAGTGGTAATATTTTCAGCTGCAGGACTGGATGATGGAGGTCTCAACCTCAGAAAGATGAGTTCCTTAGACGTTGCAGGTACACCTTGCTGACGACTGCCAACAGGCAGGTCCAGAGTTTCTAGCTGATTGTGTCTCCAACCGTCAAACATCAGTTTAGAACACCTTACAGAATATCCCACAGATACAGCTCATATAAATGTTTTACACATCTTTTTTAATTAGCCCGTTCACTAGGGAACACAATATCTATCCAGATTATGGTGTTCAATGTTACACTGTTTTACTCAACAATTATTTGCATTCACATGTATTTGTTGATGACCCACACTTATTGTGCGAAAGTTGATGTTACTACTTGAGATTTTGTGATCAGAAAGGGTGAGGTTCAGACCAAAAGCGTTATAGTTGAGAGTCTTGACCAATGATACACAGTGCTGTGCATTTAATGATTAATCTTCATGTCACATTTCTTCCAAGAAAACTCCAATTAATTTTACACAAAAGTCTGAAAAATAAAGACACCTACGATTCATTGAACTAAAAACAACATTACAAGCAATGTCAGTTACTTTTTAAAAGACATAGATAAACATCAGACATCACATATACATATAAATTGTACAAATCAGAGACAGTGAAAAAAAAATTGCTAAAGGAAACGCCTAAAATGATCAGAGGCAGCAGTCAGTGTGTGTCAATTTTCATTTTTCACACTTAGAGCATAGGACAGTAAAGTGATTCTGATTCTCAGATAAGCAATGACAGAGCATCCAGGAAATCAACATTACACTTTATTAAAAAAAAATATAAAAAATGTAGAACCAAGGAACTACAATCAAGGCAAAGTATAAACTGGTGGTAAATATTGTATAGGCATCTTGAAATTCTTTCTAAAATAAAAATCAACTGGAATGAGATATAATCAGTAAGATGGGATAATGGACAAACAATTAGAAATAAGTGCCAATGAGTAGCCACATAAAGGTCGTCTATAGTGTGAGTGACACAAGCCACACCTACTGGACAACATAGCCTAGGCTGTGACCTATGACCACTGACATAGAGGTCCAAACATAAAGAAGTAAAAAT